TATGTAAATCTTTCTTTTAGAATGAGATCCTTATAATTATCTGCATATTTAATTGATCTGGTGCTAATTAAAGGAAGTGAAGTGAAGGGTTAAATTACTTCACATGACTTTTTACCAAGGTGAGTAATTATTTTCTTATATATATTAAATTTAAAGTTTATTAAATAAAGAATTTCTTTAATGCTTTGTACAATTATTTTATGCATCTTGTAGCTTAAGAATCAAAGTAAATGAACCAAAAAATGAAAAATGAATATTTAATGTCTTTAAAATAAGGTAATTTAAAGGAAATAAACTAATAAGTAAATATTTAAGTCATACATGATTAACCCCAGATGGTACTGACAAGGGATACAATATACCCGAACATATTAAAGAATGGCAAAGGATTAGCTTCAGGTATAATTTAAGGGTATTTTTGGCTATAATTTGAGGGTGTCTTCGGTCATAATTTTTAGGGTAACTTCGGGTACATTTTAAGGATACGTTTGGATATGACGATAGTCCTATTATGACTTTAAAAAGGTTAAAAAACGATAAGCACTTTAAATAAAAAGGGAATTGATCAATTTAAAGTTTTAATGAAATGAACTATATTTTATTTTGGTCAATCATGCATAGCATAGCATAAGAATTTAATGTATATTAGATTATAATTACTCATTAAATAAAACTTACGGTTGAAGTTAAATGTTTTCAGTTAAGAAAAGAAAAACTTTAAGAGATATGTCTGGCAGAAGAGACTTGGTTTACCAGAAAATGACCATTATTGCTAGGTATTTTATGATGATGGTTTCTCTTTAATGTTTTTTCAGATATGGATTTATTGTTCAGTACTGGCTTGAGATGTTGTCTTTGGATGTTATTATTGATTTTTCTAGATGTTTAATTTTATTACACTTTGTGGATTAATAATTCTTTTATATGTATTGAAAGTTTTTAAAATGTGGATAGTTAGAGGTTAATATCGTCTGATCTTTGTACTCACATTAGTTAATTCTAAACATCGAGTTTGGTCGGAACACTAACCATAGGAGTCTCACCAAAGAGTGGCCAACTTATAGTTATCCTAGTATAATATATTTTCTTTTGTGATGTTTTAGGGTTAGTTTTTGTTGTGTATGTTTCGAGACAGCCATCAGAGTCTCCCTTTCCCTTGTAGTGTTGTATCCAAGGGTTTTGAGTGGTGTTTCATATGTATCTCATTCTCGATGTGGTGTTTATCCTTCTGATACCCTTCCCCCTTCTCTTTCCCGCACCGGCTTCCTTCTCCTTGCCACTCTACCCAGCTGTCGTTCTGAGAAAAGCTACCCACCTGTGTTTCCTCAGATATGTCTTCCCAGCCAACCTAATCCTTCAACTTGCTATCACCGCCCTAAACAACCTGTGAGTTCTATTCTCCCCCCTCCATACTTGCTGCCACACTATCGCCACTCTGAAACAGCCTACCAGTTGTGTTATCCCACCCCCCATACTTGCTACCACCTACATGAAACAACATACTTATTGTGCCTACCCTCCATACTTTCTACAACCCACCAAAAACAACAATATGTTCTCTTTCCCGTTTCCAACACCCCTCTCTCGCCAAACCACACCTGCACATCAACACCGACACCATCCTAGGTCTATCCAAGCCTAGGTTACGTTGTGTTTGTTACAATTTCATATTTCCACCTTGTGGTGTTGTAATTTCCTATTTGAAATTAGTATACTATTTATTTTTCGTTACATGTTTGTTAAAGTTGAGTATCATTTGACATCAAAGCTAACATAACCCTAGTCCTATCATAAGGTTACCAAAATCCACTACCAAACCCAAACTCCACCCAAAAACCATTCCCCCTACAGATTTTATAAATGAGTCGCCCAATTTTTTTTCCACCCTAAATCAACCTCATATGCCATTTATCACCTCACACTCTAAACCCTAGTTATGTCACGGAGGAGACAAGCGCTGGAAGCAGTGTAGGAACTTACTATGGAAGAGATGCATCAATAAATCCACCAACTTCAGCAAAGGCTTATAGAAATTGAGGAAATGACCTATGCAGAGATCACCGTCAATCGTGATTAGTAAGATTCAAAGAGAGAGCGAGAAAATTTTGAATCTCTTCCATAGGGATGATTCCAATGAAAAAGATGATAGACCACGGTGCTTCGTGATTCAGTATCAGATGAGACAGAGGGATGGAGTGAAACTTGTAGGACAAGGAGACCTCACAGTGAAAGTAGACTTACCAAATATTAAAGGGATAATGAATCTAAATGACTTCAGAGTGGTTACAACCCGTTGAGAGAATGTTTTAGTACAAGTTGTCAATTAATAGGAGAGTGAGGCTTGTATTATAAAGTTGAAGAAGAGTGCATTTTTGTGATGTGATAATCTGAAGAGAGAGACAGAGAGAAGGTCAAAGCACTATCGCCACTTGGGAGAAGATGAAGAAGGAGATACAGAGAAAGTACTTACTCCCACACTACAGTTAGTATATGTTCTTGAAGCTCTACCACCTATAATAGAGAGAATTACCAGTAGAGGAGTTCAAAGAAAATTTTGAGCAGCTCATACTGAAATATGAACTGACAAAACCAGAGGAGCGCACTATTATCGCCACTTGGGAGAAGATGAAGAAGGAGATACAGAGAAAGTACTTACTCCCACACTACAGTTAGTATATGTTCTTGAAGCTCTACCACCTATAATAGAGAGAATTACCAGTAGAGGAGTTCAAAGAAAATTTTGAGCAGCTCATACTGAAATATGAACTGACAAAACTAGAGGAGCGCACTATTGTCAGATAGTTCCATGTGCTTCTAGAGGCGCAATCACCCTCCAATCCCGGGAGATTACAACAATCATGTCACTTTCAATGTGGCTGACCTAACTCTATATCATGAGTCAGAAGTTTCAACGAATGAGATCGAAACTCCTCCAATGCGCGAGGCGTTTGGGGGAACCCTTGACCAGTTCCTTCCAGGAGCTAGGAGGGGCCAACCAGCACTCCTAATCCTAAGGAGTGTCGCCCAAGGTAGTGGACCCACTGCTAGTTATCCTAGTATTATCTATTAGCTTTTGTGAAGTTTTAGGGCTAGTATTTTTTGTGGTGTTTCAGGACAGCAGTCAGCATCTCCCTTCTCATTTTTAGGGTTGTATCCAAGAGCTAAAAGTGGTGCTCCAGCTGTATCTCATTCCCGAGGTGTTGTTTATCCTTTTGATACCCTTCCTCCACACTGGCTTCCTTATCCTCGCCACTTCACCTTGCTGCTATTCCAAAGAAAGTCACCCACCTATTGTTTTCCTCAGATACACAACCCACCAAATCCTTGCCCTGCCTTCCCAGCCAACCTTCCCCTCCATACTTGTAACTGCCACCCTAAAACAGCATACCAGTTGTGTTCTCTCCCCTCCATACTTGTTGCCACCTACCTGAAACAACATATTTGTTGTGTCTGCCCTCAATACTTATTGTCGCCTACCCAAAAACAACAATCTGTTTTTTTTCTTTCCCGACACCACCACCAACGTAGGTCCACCCAAGTCTAGGTTGTGTGTTGAATTTGTTACAATTTCATATGTCCACCTTGTGTTGTTGTAATTTCCTATTTGAATTCAGCAATAATATTTATTTTCCATCAGACTTTTTTAAATCCGATATGAATGTTTGAATTATAGTTGTACAGGAAGCATACAATCTGTTATCAAAATTTTCCTTATTTATTAATTATAAGATTCTAACCCCAGTTAAATTTTATTTTATTAAAAATCAGAATAAATCTAACAGCTATATTAATAGATAATTTATCTCATTCGAAATCACTTGCCCTATAAAGCTGAACCTTCTAGATTCTTATAAGGTGCTCAAAAAATTTTTCTGCAGCACGCTGAAAATTTTTGTGAGCCATGCAACATGCCAATTCCTATGAAAAGCTGATCAAATGTTTTTTATATCATTTTATCTCACAAATTTTAAGAAAAACATTGGGCTACTTGGTCATCCTTTTTCTGGAAAACTAACAAACCAATCATACTTTATGTATGAATATTATTTGCATGCATTTACCTGCAAACATAACTTAAGCTCAGACAACCTAAATGAGAACTACAAAGCAAAAAATGGGAATAAAAAAACATATAGCAGTCAAAACAGATTAGCTAATATGATAAAACGAAGAGCCGCCAATTCCAAAAAACACCTTGATACGGCAATCTCAACAATATTATAGCACTTCTACATTACGCTAACAAGCACTAAAAACAGAAAAAATATAGGTAAACTATAGAAGATAAGAGTTAATTCAAGTTTGGTAAAATGGAAGGCATAAAATAGCAAGTATCTGCTAAAAGAGCAAAGGGCATGCTGAAGGAAAGAAATCCAAATGCCAAAAATAAGGAAGCGAATAGGTGTAGCATAAAGTAAATGGTATTGGAACACAAAAATCTATATAGTCATACCGAAGTCTTAGTCAATTATAAAGGTTTAACAAACAGCTCAAACCAAAATATGATTGTTAGTAAGAATTAAAAAAAAATGGTTAGGTTTTAATGCCATTCAGTTACAGCGTGAACGTAACGGAAGAAGTTGTGTGAGGGAGGATAAAAGGAAGAAAGTGAGTGGCCACATTGGTGGGTGCAACAATGCAAGTTGCAGAATGAACACGAGACAGGAAGAATGATAAAAGCAAAGGTTTGCTTGGCAGCATGAACACGGGATGGTGCAGTTGCAATGTGGCGATTGTACAGCAACAACAGCAACGCAACACACTACAGAACATAGCCCAAGTGCTATTTTAATTTTGTTCTGAAATATATATCTGTTCCAATTTTGAGAAACACTTTAGCGTGTTTACAGAACATGTTTTCACCCTTTGTGAAAATATTTAAATGATTTCCAAAAACATGAACAATAGATTGTAAACAGTTTATTGTTTAAAATCTATTTCTGACAAAAAAAAAAAAGCAATTGAAGTAAAAATGGATCCTAAGAGATAGAAGTACTCACAACTCGGAACGCAGATCTTAGGCTGTATGGGGCTAGCTTCCGGTGAAGGATTCAAAGGAGAAATAAGCGATGTAAGGCGGAAGAAACCCACTGTAATCTTCGACAATTGAGCGCAAATCTTTTCGGTGGATCGTATGGGGATGGGAAAAAAGCCGGCGAGGATCGTGAAGAAATAAGAAAGTGTTCTGGTGCTGATGCCCCTAGTAAACCTAGTCCGGTCGACAATTGAGATTATCCCATCCAAATGAGAACTAGGGTTATGAATTTAGCTTAAGATTGTCGATCGCCCAAAAACTGTTCTCAATTATGGCTCCGATTCAAATGGCATCCAGAGAAATGAGCTGTTACTACTTATATTTAATAAATTTAGCTCGAAGATCAAATTTTAGCTCCGAGCTAGAATGGTTTGAAATCAATGAGTCAAGTTATGAGTCAAAATTTTAGATCAATTTTTTTTCGAACCGACTTTGAGCCAACAGTAGCTCGAAGCCCTAATGAAAACAGAGCATCTCGGGCTAATTAGTTTTATCATCTCTCATGTTTTGCATAGAAATTTATGTTGGGTGCCCTTTGGTTTGTTCTTTGAATTATTAGAAGGGGGGATTTGTGTGTGTGTGTGTGTGTACATCACACAATTATTATGTATTTACATATATAATATCTAAACTCCTAAATTTACATAAATGTCACTCAAATCCTTCTGAATTACATTTTTTCATGCATAAATTTATAACATTGAGATGTTAAAATGTGTAAATATCAAACTTTGGGTGTTAGATATATAAATACATAAATATCGTATTGTATATAGAGAGACATTTAATTTATATGGCTCCTTATAGTGAAAACTTTAAAAGTATACTCTTTTATTGCATTATTGAAGATATATCTTTAAGAGTTTGTTTCAAATTAAAATACCCTACTTCATAAGAAAAATTTTAAATTGATGATTTAGCAAACATGTAAACAAACTTTTGAGCAAGAATATTTTACCATTCATATTAACAACACATTTTCCTTGCCTTTGAATTGCTACAAAAAGTTGGTTGTTTATTTTTAGTGGGAGAGAGAGAGACATATATAAATTATTTGTTTTAAGATAATGAAAACTCTAAAACTATACTTTGTTTGTTTTATGGAGAAATATAATTTAAAGTTTATTTCAAATTAAAATGCCCTCACTTTATAAAAATAGAATTTGAACCGATGCTTTAGCAATCAAATAAGCAAACTTTCGAGCAAAATGCCATTTGACCCTACTATGATCAACACATTTTCCTTGTGTTTGAATTATTAAAAAAGTTGAGTTTTGTTTTGAGAGAAAGAGAGAGAAAGAGAGAAAAAGAGAGAGAGAGAGAGAGATAGCGAGTGAGTGAGTTTTTTTATATCAAATGATAGGGAAAATTCAAAAAATGAATTCTTTGTTTTTTTTTTTTTTTGAGATATATACTTAAAAGTTTGTTTCAAATTAAAATATCCTAACTTTATAAAAATAGAACTTGAATTAATGCTTTTGCAAACATATATGAGAACTTTTTGATTAAGAAGTCATTTGACTCTTCCTGTGATAAGCACATTTCCCACATTTAGTGATTGTCTTTTGCATGTGATTGATCATTGGTTAAATTCTAACACAAAGTTTTATGTTTCTATCTCTTGGCAGTTGCTCAAAGATATTAATATTATATGTTTAATTATTTAAAATTTGACAACATTGTATGAATTTTAAACCCTAAACTCAAATTAACGCTCGACTTTACTATAAATAATTTGAATATAAATCAATTTTTGCTTCAAGTTTAATCGAATAGTTTTTAAACCTTATTTGTACTTTTTAACAATGTTTGAATAATGATAAAAAAGATTCAATCAAACTCCTTGAAGAAGGATTGATCATGCTTTATAGAATGTTTGGTCAAAGTAAGAATAATTGTTTGCCTCATTTTTGGTAAGATAAGGCTTTTTTGGAAATCACACAATGATTCAGTGCAACCAGATTAGCAAAAAAAGCAACCTGCCTTTTTTATGGCCTAGTGTTATCACATCAGGCTTGGGCATGACCACGCCTGAAAGTTCCTCATTGTGTGTCTAAAATGTTCTTCAACGCGGTCATGCCATGACTGGGCGTGACCATGCCTAGGTAAAACTGGAGTGACCACTCCACGTGGCCACTCAGCTTGACATGTCAGCGATCCATGGCCTTCATCCACGGATCAGGCCACGAACCATAGCAATTTTTTTGTCGGCATCGATCCATGGCTCATTAACCGACCAATCAATCTTCGTCATGAGTGCACCATCTAATCGAACGGCCATGGAGGGCTCTGTCACCGCCTTCTCAACTTATAGATCTCTCAAACATAAGGTTTGGCTTATTCTCTAAGTGGTTTCATGATGGGGGTGTTAAGGTCAACCATCCCAATCGGTATTTTAGCAAGTGAATGTGCTCTCCTAAGATGTCTAAAAGTTTGATCTATCTTAGAGTCAAAAGGGGCGAGGTTGGCCTCAGTTCCCTAAACATGCACAAAATAACTTAACAAACTTATGTAACAAACAGTTACAATGACCCACACATTACTCAAAAACACACATGCAATGCAAAAACAATATGAAAGAAGAAGAAAATACAACAAATTTTAACAATAAAATTTCTTTGGATTTTTTGACTATATATTTTTTTTCAGCTTATTAACTTTTTTATGTACTTGTAAGAAAACACAACAGCAGTACATATACAATAATAGAAATAATAAACGCACAATAAATAAAAAATAGTAAAGCAAAAGTGTCAAACCTAGATCCTAAAATTTTCAACTAAGGTTCTCCTAAATTTTGAAATAATTATTAACGTCCATCCCTGACAATGGCACAAAAAACTTGACATGCCATAACTTACAATAAAGTAAGTTGGTCGTATAATGCATGTACACGCGTCAAGTAGAATTTGGTCTAAGAGTTTGCATATCAATCATACAAGAAAAAGTTTAACAGTTATTTATGCAGAGAAATATCAAGTATACAAATTTGATGAACCTATCTTGCTAGTATTGAAAAGATAGTTCAAGTCCTAAAATTCTAGTAAAAGCAGAGTATATCATAAGCAACAAAAACTGAAAGAGAAATAAAAAATCTCAAGATTTCTTCAAGAGTGACGAGGCTCGTGTCTCTATGATTTGGAGATTGTGGTGACTGTGGTTTTCTTAAATGTTTTCCTATGTGATTGTTGTCAATTGGGGGTACAGTACTCCTTATGCCTATGTCAAAGTAAAAAAATCTAAAATCCATGAAGTTGATGCTCTCTCAATCTCCATGACGTTCCGCATGAATGTTCCAATCCCCTAGAAAGATTACAGAATTTCATTGGAATATGTATATCCTCTCAGGATTCTGTGGTTAACCCTTCACTTCTACTACGCAACGGTTAGATGTCATAACTTCACAAAATATTCTAACATCCTAGTTGGTTAGATTAGGATTAATTGAAGTTCATAGGTTAACCATCAATATAGATCATGAAAGTACATAAAAATTTTTTTGAGGAAAAATATTTCAGAAAAAACATGATTAAATCCACTACCCCTACATCATAGAGACATGAAAAAAAATTAGCCATGTATCGTTGAAAAAATCATAATAAGGAAAACTTTGCAGGAATTCATTGTAAGAAACAAAAACATGTTAAACTTAGAATAACTTGTTTTCTCCACAATAGTAGCAATCTTTCTTCTCATACAATACTCTCTCACACTCATAAGATAAGGTAAAAGTCACCCTTCAAGGTTTGAACTTAAAGAATAAAGAATACCTTAAGGGAAGCACTAAAAAATATCCCCAATCTATGGCTTTATGTGTCTCCAACTCTTCTCTAGACCAGCTCTCTCTTCAAGAAGCCCTAAAATTTGTTTTTATAGAAAAAAATCTTGGATTTGGCAAGCAACTTTTCTTCTAAGCGTGTTTTCCCACTAATTTGGTGTGGTCACGTCGAAAACTATTGTGGTCACATCTAGGTCATGAATAGGGTGGCTTATTCATGCCCAAATTTAGCGAGGTCACCTTGCAGGTCTGCAGATTATGGCGTGGTCATTTTGTAGCTCTCGATCAGGTGGCATGGTCACTCCACTTCCAAGCATGGTCAAGCTGCTTTAGGCCGCTTTTTTATTGATTTTTTGCTTTCCAAAATGTTCATTTTCCACAACTGAAACCTGCACAACATCAAGAAAAATGTTTCTCAAATATAAATCTTTGATAAATAACTGTAAATAACAAGTAAAATACTGGGAAAAGCATGGATAAAATTACGTAAAATTGACATATGTCACCTGATGCCCTAAGCACAAAGCACACATCAAGTGCAACTTTGAGCGCAAGGGAAGCTATCCCCTATGAGACATGTTCAATGATATTCGAAAATTATGGCAGCGACCTTTGTGGCTCGGAGATGATGTTTTTGCCACACTGCCCAGGGCATGGAATTCTCTAGAATACTAGAAGAAGAGAGGTCAGACGAAGCAGAATAGGCGGTCGGACTGGAGGCATGGGTCCCTCCAAGCATGCTGGTGGGGCGCTCCCACATACAGAATACAAGCAAAGGATATTAAGGTTTCATTTCTACTTTAGATTTTACTCTAGATCAAATATATACTCTAACCATTTTGTTGCATGCGCATAATGTGACAATGAAACAAGAGACCTCTGCTACCGATGTACATGAGTGCACCTATAGAAGACAGTTTGATTAGTCGTGGATCAATGAAAGATACCGTGTGACCCAGGTAACTAGTTAGCTAAACTTTTTTGACGTTAAAACATGCTAGCTCAAATTGTATGTAACTACTTTTTCTTACAGGAGAGATTAGAGCAGTAGAATGAGAGCCGATCCGAGGTGTCATACGATATTACAATTTGAAATCATTATCTGTCCAAGGACAACTAGTGGAGAGAGATTGCTGGAGGGATGAAGAAGGGTCAAGTTTACGGGCTTGGGTCACAAGCATTTGGCTACGACGCTCACTCCTCCACCAGTGCATCTGCAACTTTTACGTCTACTGCACAGGAGAAGGTCTCTATGTGTGTTTTTCGCATTCGTTGCCGAGATGGAGGTCGCTTCACTCAGATGAGGTCGGAGCTAAAGACAAACATGGAGAATAAGTTGAAGGCCAAGATAGATGCGCTTCAACAGTGGACGGGACAGCATGGCAAGGAATCATTTGAAGAGGAGGAAAAGGCGGAGGACAATGAGGATAAGGATTTAGAGGAGCATAAGCGACGATATTTTTCATTTTTTTTGTATGTGATTATATTGAACATTTGAGCATTTTTTTTTCTTTGAATG